ATAACGTTAAATACCTTGGAGTAATAATTGATGATTAACTTGGGCACCACACATAACATCTATCAGCAATAGAATTAGAAAACTGATCTATGTATTTAAAAATTTAAGAGATGTCCTGGATGAAGAAAACCTGCTGAAGACATACAAAGCATTAGCAGAATGTGTAATGACCTATTGTATTACTTCATGAGGAGGAGCAGCTAAAACACACCTGTTAGAAGCTGAACGAACACAACGAACTTTACTCAAAGTTATCCTACGGCTCCCATGCAGATACCCCACTGCGGATTTATATAATAAATGCAGTGTGCTCACCATAAGGAAATTATATATCTTCCAGACAATACGTAAATACCACCAAGGTATCAAAAGCATATATCCTTTGAATCAGAAGAGGGTAATACGATACCCAATACCTGGCTTTAAGACCACATTTGCCAAACTGCATTATGATTACAATGCTCCTTCACTATATAATAAGTTCAACCGTAATAATAAACAGGTATGATATAAAAGTCAAATTACTTAATTGGTTACACAATTTTGACTATCATTTAACCGAAAATTTATTTGTGACCCTACGGTGACTCGCTATGACACACACAAACAGGCACAAAGAAACACACACACACACACACACACACACACACACACACACACACACACACACACACACACACACACACACAGAGATTCGATGTCATTTGTAAATAATCAGTTTATTCATAAAATTGTTTATGATAGTTTGGGAGCCGGCAGGAGGGAATAATTAAGATGCAGTACAAAGAACAAGCCGTGTTGAGAAAAACATAATCTTTTATTGTCGCTTGTAATGCTATAGTAATTTGTCAATATTAGGGTAATGCTAGACCGATGAGAGTAAGGGTGTAAAGGATAAGAGCGGTGCTACACAGCCATAGCAAATGAGTCGCCACATCACCCCCTTCCGGAGAAAAATAAGTACACATTGAAGGCAAAACAAGTATAAAATGTAACAATCAAATAATTATACACTGTTATTATATAAGTACAAGCAACATTATTTAGGATAATTTTTAACTAATGGAATTTTAATTTATACAATGAAAAAATAAACATTGGAAACTTAAAATTGAAAAAAACTCTGCTTTAACAAAAATAACGTATTAAAAACTAGTACTTATAAATCTAAAATATCTTTAAATTTAACTTTGCGACCTGACCGGGTTGTTACAGGCTGTGCGGGCGTTTTAATGGGCACGGCCGTTTGGCTAATAGGAGGTGAAAGAGTCGGAAGGACTGGGGGCTCCGGTGCCAAGTTGTTAGGTGACGGATTGCCGTCTGGGTCAGGTGCAATATACGCAGGTTTTGTTCTGTCGATGCTAACCTCAGATCTTCGGCCAGAAATGTCTAAGGTAAGTGTCTTTTCAGATCTCTTCAACACTCTCTAGGGGCCTGTATAAGGTGGCTGTAGAGGGCGTCGAACGGAATCTTCGCGGAGGAACACGTGAGTAGCATCAGGTAAGTCCTTGAAAGCGAAAGTTTTAGAATTTATGTGACGTGATGCTGGAACGGGGCGAAGTTCTGCCATCCGTTTTCGCAACTGTGCAACAAAATCATCGTTCACGGTCTGAGGGGAATTGCTAGCCACCAGGAACTCGCCTGGTAGGCGTAGCGGTTCCCCATACAAAACTTCTGCAGCTGACGTTTTGATGTCATTTTTTAGTGCCGCCCTGATTCCGAGAAGAACGAAAGGTAGGGCATGGTACCAAGAACTCTTGTGACACATTAAAGCGGCCTTTAAATGGCGGTGGAGACGCTCTATCATCCCATTAGTTTGGGGATGATAGCTCGTAGTACGAACGCGTTTTGTGGCTCCTAAATCCATCAGTCTGTTGAAAAGTTGGGACTCAAATTGACGTCCCTGGTCCGTTGTGACAGTGATCGGTACACCAAAGCGAGCGATCCAGCCATGGGTGAATTGATCAGCGACTTCTACTGCGGTTATCGACGACATGGGCCAAACTTCGGGCCAGCGTGAGAAACGGTCTACTGCTGTTAGGCAATAAGTGAATCCGTTTGAAGAAGGCATCGGTCCAATAATGTCCAGGTGAACATGACGGAATCTGCCTGAAGGTGTGCTAATGTTGCCAAGCGGTGAAACGACATGGCGCGTTACCTTGCTGCTCTGGCAGGCGAGACACTCGCGTGCCCAGGAGCGGCAGTCTTTAGCAATGCCCGGCCAAACATAGCGGTCGCTAATGAGGCGCGCGGAAGCGCGTGCGCCGGGGTGGCTGAGACCATGTAGGCGATCGAAGACGGCTCGCCGATATTGTTTTGGCAAAAAGGGTCTAGGTTTGCCTGTTGACACATCACACAAAACGGAAATGTTGGATCCAGGTATGAGGGTTGGCTCTAACTGTAAAGAAGAATGGACCTTTACGGTTTTAAGTTCGTCGTCCGTCTGCTGAGCTTTTGCCAGGGCTGCGAAATCGTCATCGAGCGTGATAGCCTCAATGCGGGACATTGTGTCAGCAACGATGTTGTCTTCCCCCTTCACATGTTTGATATCAGTTGTAAACTGGGAAATAAACGTAAGTTGGTTAAGTTGAGCAGGGGGCAATTTTTCACGGCGTTGGACGAAAGCATAAAGAAGCGGCTTGTGGTCCGTGTAGATTGTCGCGTGTTGTGCCTCTAGTATATGCCGGGAATGCTGTACGGCCGCGTACACTGCGAGAAGTTCGCGGTAATACGCGGGCCACGTACTTTGGCTCTGTGTTAGCTTTTTGCTAAAGAATGCCAACGGCTGCCAGCCTTGATCAGACCTTTGCTGTAAGGCAGCGCCGACATGAGTGCTGGAGGCGTCCGTGTACAACCCTAAACGAGCATTTCGTTGCGGATGTACAAGCATAGTGACCCCGACGTGATGTGATAAATATGCGCAACATCGGAGTCCACGTCGCTACGCTCTGCAGTTTCGCTCGGAAACAATAATTTCCGCGATAATCGAGGTTTGTTCCATTCTGCGACGCCGCCTAGGTACGCTTCCTTCTTTTTGTTTTTCCCTCCGTGCAGAGAAGTCTGCTAGGGACACTAGAAAAGCCACCTGCGAGTGAGACTATGGTATAGCCTGCGTGGGAGATTGTACAGAACAGCCATGAAGCTATAATCGCAACAACTGTATACGCGATAATCGACGATAATCTACATCGCTATTGGACTCGTATTTTGTCCATTCTCTGTAGCGCTGAGCCGGCATTTTTCGCATCGAGGCCGGCCATTTTTCTTTCTCTACCAAAGCTACGTCATCTTTGACGAGAAGGAAGTTGAAAAGCGCGCCACGCGCGGCAATCACCCGCAAAACATTGTGTCAGGTGACTAACAGCTCTCCACTGATACTTCGCGACGGATGCTGCGTTTACACTCGTTCAAGTGAAAGTTTAGTGCTATTTTACACTTAAGATAGTATCATTTTATGTTGTATTTAGACTTTACTTTACTTTTCTACCAATTTTATTATTTCGTTTGCTGCGCAGTACTGAAATTGTTCGTTTGTGTATTAACCGATTTGTTCCACTGCGTGTATGTGTAAAGCGTTTTTGCGATTTGACCGTTTCTGATTTTACCTTTAAACCATGGCGAGTCAAGGAGAATCTAACGTTTCAGAGCGCCACGTTGGCAACGAGGGTGATGCTACTGCACTAGTCGGTGGCAGTCCCATTTACGTAAACAGGGTCGCAATTAGGACCCCGCCTTTTAGCAAGGATCGGCCCGCATTGTGGTTTGCTAGCCTAGAGGCGCAGTTCCACATTAACCAAATTACCGTCGAAATGACGAAGTTTCATTTCGCCGTGGCGCATTTAGATACCGAGTGTACGAAGGAGGTCGAAGATATTATCACACATCCTCCCGAGTTGCAACCATACACAACTTTAAAAAGCGCAATCATATCTAGATTCTCCTATTCCTTCGAGGAGAAGGTGCGGCGCTTACTAGAAAAGGAACAGTTAGGTGACCGCAAGCCATCTTCGTTCATGCGACACTTGAAGAGTCTGGCTGGGCAATCGTTCCCCGCTGACTTGCTGCGATCAATTTGGGCCAATCGGCTTCCCCGGCAGGTTCAAATTGTGTTGGCCGCACAGAAGATCCAGGACTTGACGGAGTTGGCGGAGATGGCCGACCAGTTGGTGGAGTTGACCGAGAGGCCTACCACCGTGAGCCAGGTTTCGGCGCATCATACCTTTGAGCCCACTCTCGCGTCAATGCAGCGGCAGATCGAGGAATTGACGCGAACAGTCTCAGCGCTCAGAACAAACACCCATGAACGATCTGGGAGCTCACGCGTTAATCAAAAGCGGAGCCGCTCTCGATCGCGTACCACGATCGTTTCGGCAACAAAGCAAGCAAATGCATACCAGGATGCAGCTGGACCATAGAAGGAGCTACCAAACCTTTAAACTAAGGGAGCGGTCGGACGTGGCAAGTACCGACCGCGCACAGTCCAGCAAACGCCTTTTTATTACCGATCAAAATACCAAAATTAATTTTTTGATAGATACCGGTTCGGACATTTGTTGTTTTCCACGAAAACTTATAAAATGACGCTTCTCAAATACAGGACTTACTCTCAATGCGGCAAATGGCAGCTCCATTAAAACTTACGGCACAGTTAATCTGAACCTCAATTTAGGACTGCGCCGTGAATTTCGCTGGGAGTTTAGTTGTGCTGACGTGGATGTCCCAATTATCGGTTCGGATTTCCTAGCTTTCTTCCACCTCCTACCCGACTGCCGTAGCGGCACACTGCGCGATGAGCTCACAAACTTATCCGCATATTGTGTAACCTAAAGTTAAAAAAGTGGCGCCCAACGTAGTAGCCCTGAGTAAAAACAGTGTTAAACAAACCCGTGAACTCAGTGAATAAATCATGCCACCGAAGAGGCGAGCGAACCCAGCGGCATCGCAGCTGGACAAAGACGAAAGCGATCGCTCAAGCGACGACTCCCGCGATCTCTAGGCGGATGCGACGCGACCCAACACGCGTGCCTGCGGGGGCACCGGTCCAGGTCCAGTTCCACCCCACTCGCATACCGCGTCCGCGGCACCAGAGGAGGCGCACGCCCAGAGAGCAACTAGTGGAGTTCAGGCACGTCACCGGCGGCATCGCCTACGGCGAACGCATCAGCGGTGTGCGGCGGAAATTTCTCGAACTGCACCGCCATATTCGACGGACTGTCACGTGACGCTGAAGTGCTAGAGGCATTTATCGATGCAGTAGAAGTATACAAGGAGTGCACCGCACGCTCTACGCGACCTCTCCATGATGCTAACCGGCGACGCAGCGGTTTGGTGGCGCCGCGTCCGCGACAGCGTTGCGTCGTGGCCGGAAGCGCTCGCGCGCCTTCGCGCTGCTTACGGCGTCCAGAAACCTACCTATCGAGTGTTAAGGGAGGTATTTGCTACCGAACAAGGTGAATGTGAACGTGCAGAGGTATTCATATCAAAAGTACGATCTTTATTAGTGAAATTACCGTATACTGTGCCTATCATAATGCAAGTTGACATTATTTATGGTTCGCCGCGTCAGAAAAAGATTATCTCGGCATAGTTGTAATAATGTAGATAATTTGTTAGAGAGAGCGAGACTCGTAGAAGATTCGTTAACAGAGATAACTAACGCGTCAATCGTTCCCGCTTCCGCGAGCGTTAGGAACTCGAGTATACCTACACCTACGGCGAGCGCGAGCGCAACACTCGATCGCGGCGTTACTATGAGTTCGAGCGCAACTACCGGTCCCAAACTCACCTCCAATTCGAACGACAATACAAACGGGTTCGCGTTCGTTGTTGATTTTGTAAAGCTTTTGGACATTCTTCGAACGAATGTCGTAAGGCTAGCAAAGATGATAATAAAGGTACGTTGCGCTGCTATGGGTGCGGCCAACCTGGGGTAGTCGTGACATTTGCTCGAATAAATCGGCAGGTGGTAAACCGTCCGACTTTAATGTAGTTAAAGGCGACTTATTCGCAACGACGTCGCATTTATTAATAACACTATAGGCGTAAGTGGCAAGCAAGGGGTTGCGATCGTAGATACTGGGGCTACATATAGCGTGGCAAGTCCTTTGTTGTATTCTCTGCTTTTGAATAGCGGCGTGAGTTTCCGAGAAGTAGAACGCGTCATCGGTCTCGCCGATGGTTCACGACATACGAAGATAGTCAAGATCGCAACGGTGACTGTCACAGTAGGTACACGCAACGTCGACACCGAATTTTGGGTGTTCCCTGGCGATGAAACTAGGGCGCTTCTAGGTCGCGACTTCATCGCGAAAGTTGGTATGATTTTGGATATAGCGCAGGAAGTCTGGTATTTTGCGGATAATCCAGAAAAGAAATTTCCGTTCGAGCACTCTTACGTGCTTAAAGACACGGCGGTATTGGACACTCTATCCGACATGTGCGACGTGTCTTTACGTCCCGACGAAGGTACAGCTCTGTCATCCGAGCAGAGGGCCGCACTCAACCATCTTTTACGAAGGAGGGTCGGCCAGTTCGCTGCAGACGGCGGTGCACAAAATCAAGGTAAGTGGGAGTAAAGACAGGAGTCGTTGGGGCCGCCAACGTTCCGGAGCAGCCTTCCGAGAGCTACCGCCGCTCTTGCCACTTTTGGGCTGGACGCTCAAAGTGGGGAACGAAATTCCATCGGCGATCTAGGACTAGGCCGAGGTATCTCATTGTCGGCTTAACGTCGACACGGACGCCGCCCACTATTATGTGGGCGTCCGCAGGTAGCGCATTCCGAGGCCCATAGAAATACAGGGCTTCGGATTTAGTAAGCGCCACCTCTAGCCCCAGTCGCCGAATGCGCCCCACCACTTGCGCCACTCCCGATGTGGCGAGAGTAGCAGCCCGGTGAAAATTGGCGCCGCGGGCGGTGACAAGAGTGTCGTCAGCGTAACAAGTTACCTCGACACCCCTGGGGTAGGCGCCACGCAGCACCCAATCATAACCTACTGTTATAACAGTCAATGTAAGGGGTTATGCTTACAACTCCCTTTTCCCCACCATGCCAAAATCCCTTATCATCATTTCTTTCTGTACTTAAACCTATATCGTCAGTCTAGACGATCCGTCAAAGTATACACGCGCGATAACGGCTGCCCAAGGATCCCTAATAATATTTCATAATTATAACTAGTGTTTTTTACAGTTTATAATAAATAATCTTTTTTAAAACCGGGTTTCAATTTAGTCCCGTAACATTTTGGTGGCAGCGGTGGGATCCGAATATTCGAGTGCCTTATAAGTTTTCGGGACCGTTTCGTGTTGTGAAAGTGTAAAAGTGATAGACTCCGTGGAACAGTTATTTGGAAGTGTTTACTCCAGTGATATTTCATGACCCGCGAGTACGAGTTCTGCTTGTAAGTGGCCCATAGTAGGTCCCTGCGAACTCCATCCAGAACCCCTGCTGAAGAGCACGAGCGAGCTCCACTGTGTGTAAGAAGCCCACCGTTACAGGCGGTGAACGGCTCATCACCGAGTTCCTGGTTCCTGGATTTTGGCCATAGTGTTGGCATACCTCCCTTGGTTTTTAATTTAAGGAATGCGGGCTGCATCCGCGATCATATTACTCGCTGCGTATCTGTAAGTCTTTGGTCATGCTAATTTAGGGTCCCACGTTAAATTAAAAGAAACTTTTGTTGAAATAATATTTCTTTCGTGAAATAAAATATTGTATTGAATAAAAAATTGTGAATTACAAATTAATACTTTAAATGTAAAAGTTAAAATAATAAATTTTACTGTTTTCTCATACAGTGAGACAGAAAATTATAATTATAAAAAATAAGTATTTTTAAACTTATTTAAAGCGTGCATGAAAACGCCTTGCTTTTTACACTGTTTAATTAAAATTGTGTATTTTTATTATATTGTGGTTCCGTACATATTTTGTGTATTACTTTGGTTCTGCGTGCATTGATAATTAAAAAAAATATATAATAATAACCATATACTATAAAGATAAGTAACTTGTTCGGTTCAATATTGAACCAAACAGCTTTGTTTGCACTTTTTACCTAAAGTCCATCAATACGTTGTAAGCATTAAAATATACCGCGATAATCAATCAGTTCACGTTCGGTCATCAAGCAAACCACGCGTTCTCAAAATATCATACCTAATTATCATAATTATCATAAATATCATATCATATTATAAGTATCATTTTAACTGTATCAATTTAGTAATAAAGTGTTTCATATCAGTACTATTATCATTTATATCATCATAATCGGTGTTAGGAGTTAGCCCCTACATAACTAAAGTTTTTGAGATAATTTTAATTAATTTAATATTTGTTTTCTTTAAAGTTTTTTCAATTTTTTTTTTATTTAATTAAATAAAATGGCACGCGCAACGAAAGATAGCAAACTAGTAGTAGAACTACCGGAATCGATTTTATCAGAGGGTGAAAAATCGCCCGTCATACCTTCAACGCCTAGGAAGCCGAAAATAATATATGATGTAGACCTTAACTTTTTAGTTAGATTCATTAAACCTTATGATGGATCTAGGGACACTCCACCCTTTTATCGTTAATTGCAATAGTGCCTTTGAATTAGCATCAGACATTCAGAAACCTATTTTGTTTAAATATGTACTTAGCCAATTACTTGGAAATGCCGAAACGGCCTGTTCAATTAAAGAATTCTCCTCATGAGAGCAACTCAAGGATTTCTTAATGACACAGTTTAGCCAAAGAAAGCATTATGCTTACCTTTTAACTGAACTGCAAGAGTGCAGGCAGAATACTAACGAAACAGTTACTCAATTCTCTCTTAGGATAGAAACGTGCTTATCATAATTACTGTCTGAAATTTCCTTGAACCCTACTAAAGTTAAAGAGGTTCCGGGTCGTACAGCCGCTATGGAGGACTTAGCTCTCCATCACTTTACAATGGGACTACACCCACAAATTTCAAACATAGTAAGATGTAGGAACCCCAAAACAAATTTTGCTGTTACAGAAGAGAGAATTTTACAAAACGTTTACAAAAGAAACGAACAATTTAATAAACCCGGTATAAAATATAATACTAATAATGATAAAGCTCGTAATTATTCAACTTAACGACCACAAAATATTTGTAAATTTTGCCGACTTCCAGGCCATGACATTAATAACTGCTTTAAAAGAAAAAGGGAACAATCCCATAAAAACGATTCATTTAATAGAGTAAACTTTGCAAACGACCAGAAATACGAGGACGAAGGTCGCGACGAAGTCGACTCACAAAATTATGAAACCGAAAATGAACCCGAACTTGACACAGAAAATGATTTAAACTATTAAATGTCCCGCTTCCGTGTCGGGCGAGACGTACATCAAAGAATGACACGATGAACCTCCGACCTCGCAAATCCGATAGTAGTAACCTAGTGCGCAAACAGTGTATTAAATCCAGAAATGAACATAGCGAAACCGTATTCAAAATTATGAATAAAGAAAGGTACTTACCTCACATTAAAATTTTAACGTCATGTAATCCTCGATCCCTACTTTTTCTTATCGATACAGGCGCGTCGCTGTGCCTTTTAAAAAAGGACTGTATTAAAAATGACATCAACGTCTCACCTGCTGATATCTCCGTTAAAGGCATAGATAGAAAGATAAAACATTAAAAAGTCTGGGCTATGCAAATCTAAAAAAAAATTAACCTAACACATAAATTCTTTCTTTTCGAAAGTCTTAACTTACCATATGATGGAATAATTGGCAACGACCTATTTATGCAGCATAACTGCCATATTAATTATAACTCAAATACACTTCAATTGAAAAATTATAAAATTAATTTTCTGTTTAACGAACCGTCCTAACAATTAACCCCAGGAGAGAAACAGTTATTGAATGTTCAGTAGAAAATCCTGAAATAAAACAGGGATTAATATTAGACCAACACTTATCAGAAAATATCCTTATATCTAATTGTTTGGTAAAAGTTAAACCTAATAATAGAATTAATGTTTCCGTACTTAACACATCCGAAAAACCAATTGATATAGACTCGAACCTAAATTTAAAACTCGAACCAATTAACAATAGTGACTCCAAACCCATCCATAACTATACAAATTCTTTAGATAGAGCTGAGGAAGTTTTAAAATCACTAAGAACCTCTCATCTTAACGATGAAGAATTAGATAACTTTTTAGACTTATGCTATAACAACTATTCTGACATTTTTCATCTTTCCCAAGACAAACTTACCTGTATCACTGCTCTTGGTATTTAACCAAATAAGAACTAGTTCAGATATTCACATAAATACAAAATCATATAAATTCTCGCAGTGTCATAAAGCAGAAGTCAAATCCCAAATTCAGATATTATGAAATATTATTAGGGATCCTTGGGCAGCCGTTATCGCGCGTGTATACTTTGACTGATCGTCTAGACTGACGATAGGTTCGTGATAGACTAGCGGGAGCGCCGAAGGATGGGTTTAAGTACAGAAAGAAATGATGATAAGGAATTTTGGCATGGTGGGGAAAAGGGAGTTGTAAGCATGACCCCTTACATTGACTGGTTATAACACTACGTTCCACAGGAGTGGCCCTAACACCGACCCCTGTGGAACTCCACACGTCACCTCCGTGGACCCGTGACCGTCTCGGCACGGGTACACCACACGACGGTGCGACAGATAGGCTCCAATGATGTGGCGCAGGTAGAGAGGCACTCCATGGAACCGGAGCGCCTCCTTTATACAAGCCCAGCGCAAGGTGTTAAAGGCGTTGGCGATGTCAAGAGACACCGCCAAGACGCCCTCGCCCTCCTCCTATGCGAGGAACCTCACTCGCAGCACCGTGTGGATGGTTGACCGGCCCCTGCGGAAACCAAACTGTCTATCCGCCAGATTTGGGCCGATGCGCTCTAGGTGCTTGACGATGCGGGCGGCGATCACTCTTTCGAAGAGCTTGCCCACATCGTCAAGAAGCACTATCGGCCGATAAGCAGATGGGGAGTCCGCTGGACGCCCTTCCTTCTGGATGAGGACGAGTCTGCCTGTCTTCCACCTCTGTGGGATAATGGCTTGAGCCAGACAGGCAGTAAGGCTGTGTGTTAAAGGGGGGGCCCAGGGGCGAAGTTTATTCATCACCATCCTGTACGGCCGCCCCCACGGATCACGGTCCAATGCAGCCAAGAACTCCTCCCTGGCAACGCGCGCGCGGCTTATCCCCGCCTGCAACGCCATTTTTGCCGTTGTGAAGGAGGCGTACAACTCAGCCTCCAAATCGGTGTTCCTGCGCCGTCTCCTGCTGCATCGAGTATACTTGCGTCTCGCCATGACGCACGCTCTGCGCATTTGCGCAAGGTCCTCAGACCACCAGTACACCCGACGCTTGGGAGGGAGATTCCTGGACCGGGACATCGATGCATCGCAAATTTGCGTCATCGCGTCTCGGAACCATTCAGCTTCCCCCTCGACGTCCAAACTAGTGGGCACAGGAACCCAGGACTGTACTATTGCCGCCTCCTTCAGAACTTCGCGGTTCAGGCTTTCGAGGTGCCACCTTGAGCCACTGT